GGGGGAGGGGTTCTTTGATATGAAATTGTTTGTCTATTTATATTGAAATCTTAAGAATTTCCAATCTATCTCAGAAAAATTATTCAAAAGTTTTTTCCTTTTTGCCGAATTTGCTTGATGCGGGTTGTTCATTTTGTAAGGCGGAATAAAAATTTTAGGTTCGGTTGAGTTTTGAACCAGATTCTGATGCTCCGGTTAGAGTGGTGCAAGTAGTGATAGCAGCCCAGCTTTTGGATGTAAAGGAATTTTGTCTTTGCCACAACTAACATTTTGTAATCCCTATATCTTTGCAACTTTGATATTCGATATTTGATCTATCAGAATTCACAGTTTGAAATATCTAAGGGATTAGAAAATAACAGTTTGTGGCAAAGACACAATTCCGTTCTTCTTTTGATTACCAGTGACTGGACCCCGTTATAGCATTTCCGATTTAGAGCCATACCATTTAGACCTTGCAGTCTTATCAAGTATGAATGAGTTATCCTTATTTGCCCAACTAAAAATAGATTTTTTTGTTGTACCTTTATTATATATCATTTCTACTGAGATAAAGGTTTAAACGTACTACTGTGAATCGTGCAGGCCAAATTTTTTAATGAATGGTCACTTGACATCATGTGTTCAGTTCTTTTGAGAAAATAAAATAATTTTAAAAAACGTGTAATTTTGTAACAAGCTAAAAATGGACACAGGAGAAAATAAGTTTTGTCATTCCAGACTGAACTAAAATATTCTAAAAATATCAGAAATCTTTAATACTTTATAATCTTAAGAGGTCCCTTCAAATGTGTTTGAGGTTAGCCACAGCCAGGTCCCACAAGAATATTTAATTCAGTCCATTCTACTCTTTAAACATACAAGGCATCTAAACATTTTGTCTCCAAAATGATTTTAAGTTTTATACAAATCTTTCGGTTTATTCTCACTGAAATTAGAGGAGAAATGAATGTTTATTTGTTTTTTAGAAGGTAAATCTTAAATTTTCGAGATAAAAATTTGTAGCTTCCACCCCCCCCCCACCCACCCTCCTACTCTAGTTTTGACATAAACTAATAAAAACAGATAAAATTCCGAGAGGATATCTGGAAAAAGTTTAGTATTCTTCCTGCTTCCTCCTGCAGTGTCCACTGTCCATAGCCAAATATATAAAAACAGTTAAATTCAGAGAGGATATCTGGAAAACAGTTTATTATTCTTCCTGCCTCCTCCTGCAGTGTCCACTGTCCATAGCCAAATATATAAAAACATCCACTCCATGGTTTAGCAGATTTATGTCAAAAAAATGTGAAAAGATATTTATTTGTAACTAAATGAATAATTTATTTAATGCAATCCCATCTACTCTACATACTATTTTTCTAAAAATCCAGTATTTTCCTCAATTCAGCAAATAAAGAACTAAAAACATAACAGTTCTGGGGGACAAAAAAAGATTTTCAAAAGAGGGGGGATTTTTCTAAAATATACAAATCCCTGAAATCTGAACAATGATATCATACAACATGTCCATAAGATTGATAAAGTTTTTTTTGTTTGAAAAAGTGCATTCCCCCCCCCCCTTTCATGATTAAAAATATTGGTGGTAGAATTTTACAAAAGGAGTGAAACTTTACATTGAAATCTTTGATGAAACTCTCACATAAATTTATCATGATTAAGAATTTTTAGTTTTTACAGTTTCGTGGAAAAATTGAAATAATAAGAAAGATTTTGAAGCTTTAAAAAATACATGTCATGGAAAGGGTTACCGAATTTAAATTGTTGTTTTTTTTAGTCCATACGTTTTTTGAATCACTTCTTAAATTTGCGGTCCTTCCCTTTTATATTTGTAAAAATATGGCCGACATTGTCTGGGTGTGGAAATAAGTAAAATAGCTAAACATTAGCCTTGTTAACCTTTGGATAATAGTCCTACATATCATATAGGCTTTAAAGCATGGGATTTAACCGAACTCCAATCGGAGCTTTAAAAATAGAAAAAATATTAATGTCTATTTTGTGTGTATGGATGGGTATAGATGCTACACCTTGAACCCTGTCTTTTTATTTTGTAAAATAAAATTGTGAAAATGAATAAATAAGTTTTTAGGTAAAAGTAAAAGAAGGGGAACTATTAAAGCCAGTATTATTTTTACTGAAAAATTTCCTCTTGTAAAGTTAAGGTAATTATGAAGGTTGAATCAAAGGCTCTAAGCGAACCTTCATTTAAAGAGGGCTATACTCAACTCACAACGATTCTCTTTAAACATTTATCTGACAGATAATGTGGAATATAAGGTCATTTATCTTACTAGTTTAAACAATTCCTTCGAACTAAAAAAAAGACTTTATAAAGTATTTTTATAGCTTGTGAACAAATCACCTTTTCCAGGGTCACCCTGTGTTTATATGAAGGGCCACTTGAAATTTAGTCTACATTCCCTTAAGCGTAGGATTTGGTGATCCAAACGTAACTAAATTCTGCATTCTACGCTGGTCAAGCTTTAAAACCGCCTACACTTGCAGCATTAAAGTTCTGCAAAGGCTAATAGTTTACAATTAACATACTTCAGCATTTTTAATCAAACCCAATATACTATTATTTTCATTTGTTAAAAAATGCATTCAACTGAAAAAAAAATCTGAGTAAAAAAGGAAGAATGGAATCTATTAAAATATATTTTAACTCAAGATTGAAATTGGTTTTTAAATCGAATTAAGAGTTGCCTTAGATGATATGCCTTGGAGAGAAGGGGGTGTAACTTTACAGCTTCAAGGAACATAGAAAATAACATAAACTAAACCTCCAGGATGCTTCGCATCGTGCACCTTTTCTTATGATTTTACCTGTTACTTTGGAAGTGGCCATTTCTAATAGTTCTTTGTGAATTTTGTGCCATCAATGTCTACATTTTTTGGGGGGCAAATGTTTTCCACTTCGACCTGCTATAAACCTTGCCTGGGGCCATGTGAGTTGCCACAAAAAAATTGTGCGGTTTGACGTTTCTTGAATACGAACAAACAGACAGACAGATACGCATATTATATGTAATACATATATATAGGTTAATTGATTAAATAGATTCTCTTTGTTTTTGGGTAACCCTGTATGCAAATATTATTATGAAATCTTGGTAAAATGTATACTTTATATAGTGTGTAACGTAAACCTTGATGAAACTTTGGCTATGAAAGAAGTTAATATCTGGAAGTAAAGATCTAATGAAAAAAGAAATAACTTTTAATTAAACTGTTATAAAGAGAAGGGCAAGTGACGTGGGTGGTGTGTGTGTGAGTGTGTGTGTGTGTATATAGGGTGTGGGTGGGAGGTTAAGTGTATTTAGGATCTGATACATTAATAATATTATCCCAAGGAACAAAAATTTAACTTAATTTAGATATCTGGACTAGGGTTCAAATGGACAACAAAAAATTGTTGAACAAATTTCAAGCTGACTTGGAAAGTTTGTAAAGGTTCGCTTGAAATGTTTTTGATATTACCAAAATTTTAATAAAGTTCGTCGATATTAATACGATATTAATATGATGTCCTATGAGCACTAGTTCTGATGACATTGCATCATGAGAAGTACGGCTTGCTTCCTCAGCCCAAAATCTTCTGACCCTGACCGATATATACGATCCGTGATCTCGGGCCATAGATAGATAGATAGATAGATAGATAGATAGATAGATAGATAGATAGATAGATAGATAGATAGATAGATAGATAGATAGATAGATAGATAGATAGATAGATCCATCCATCCACCAACCTCTCTGGGTTATCCTCCTAACTGGCAGTTGTAGCCAACTTTGGGGACTCTAGCAGTATAGAACCGAGTATAATAGAGAAAACTTCAGATATTATTCATGTCACTCGGTTATCTAGTTATCTTGTATCTAGCTTGTATATCTAGTTATCTTGTATCTAGCTCGGTTATTTAGTTATCTTGTATCTATCTTGTATATCTAGTTATCTTATGCCTAGCTTGTATATCTAGTTATCTTGTATCTAGCTTGTATATCTAGTTATCTTGTGTCTAGCTTGTATATCTAGTTATCTTGTATCCTGGCTGTTTCTAATTTATAATTTTGAGTTAAGTGCAGGCCTAAGCACAGATATATAAGTTTTATGAAAGGAAAATATAATCTTTCTTTTTCTAAAAATATGATAATTAAGTATGCACTAGATTAACTTGTGCATTTATTTTTTATTTTCATTTCGGTGAATCGCTTTCATGCATGTTGTACAATGGAAACCATAAATCTGTATAATTGCAGTCGTCCTTACATACATATTTATATATAGATAATTGATCTATTTTGAAACTAAGAATAGTTAAAAAATCTTCAGCGAAGAGAGATTGAGAACGTCAATCATGCTTTGTACTTGATAACACTGAAGGGATACTGTTGGCAGGTCAACGTTTTCTTTACATACTAGAACAATGTAAACCTGGCGAAAACATGATACCAACTACTCTGGTAGTTTTCCATTGGATTTATAAAAAATTTGGACAATCCGACCCAGAACCAACAACAGTGAGTTTTTAACACTCCTTTTATTCACTACTAGAATTTTTAGATTTCACACCCAAATCTAAAGCCTAAAAATAAAAAATTAAGAATGTAATGGAATGCAAAAATTATTCAACTATCAGAAATTATTGTCAGAAAAAAAAACATTTTAAAAAATAAATTTTGCACAAACATTCCTTCTGTAGAAATGAAAATCTGACATAAAATTATGATAAAATTGTCATGACAATGTATCAAAAATTAAATAATATATTTTCTTTTAAAATAATAAAATATCCATTTAAAGAGTACCATCCACTGTTCACAGCTGTACCCTATAAATCTAAATCTAAAAATTAATGATTTTTGCAAGTGGCTTTTCTGATAAGCAGCTTGTAATATTTCTTTAATTACAAACAACGAAATGGGTTTAAGTTTGTTTTTAAAAATGAAAAAGATATTTTCTGATAATATGAATTAATCATTGTATTGTTTAGGAGGCTGTAAAGGAGTCTAAAGCAGCTCTGCTGACACCTGAAGATGGAGAGGAGGTAAAAAAAGCTGCAAACCCCCTCCACCACACTCTTCCTCCTCCTCAGAAATTATTCTTTTTATCAGAAAGAAATATTTTTAGTATTTAAGTAAATTCTTCCAGGTTTTTAATCTCGATACAAATGTCTTCAGAAAATAAATTTTTTCTTCAAGATGAATAATCAAAATCAAAGTTTTTTTGATCACTCCCTCCCCTCCCCCTCCTACAACAAAAAATGTATTTTATTAAAAAAAAACTTGAGTATTTGTTTAATAGCATAAAATTTACATCGTAGATTTATGCAGGTTATCACTTTAAATACTTGTGCAGTTTTTCAATCTTTAAAAGCTGAACATGTTGATTTTTGAGTTTTATAATAAATATATGTTTTTAATCAACTTCAAAGAAAAAAAATTTGGAGGATGATTCCCTTTGCACCTTTTCCTCTTAACTTGAAATGTCTAAGGGTAAATATTAAACAGCATAAAATCTTAGTGAAAATAAATGAATAAATTGATATCATGTTTTACCTGAAAACAAATTTTTTAAATCCAAAAATATTTTTTGCATTTATTTGAGAAAATTTTAATGATTCTTTTTAATATATACCCCTGACATTTTTTGTAGTCCTAATTGATTAATGATGGCTGAATGACAAACATTAATTCTGAAAGTCAATTTTGATTGATTTAGGCCGAGAGTCCCATGCCATCAAATATCCAGCAGCCTCTGCGCAGGCGCGGAGCTGTCTCGGCAGAACCAATCAACGAAGAGGACGCAGCAACCTATGTTAAAAAGGTGAAGACAAGATAAAAAATAAGTATTTCATGATTTTGAAATAGTAAATCTTTGATTAGCCATCGAAATTGATGTCTACCTGTCTAAAAAAGCTTGAGCTGCATTAATCGAGAGGACAGGTTTTTATTTCTCCTTGCTCCGGTCCGATCAGTAGATCAGTGAGCGTACTACGGTCAACCTAGTTCAGTATTAATACGTTAAGTTTTGATTTACTGATCAGATAATTCTAAGGTACGTATCCATTACCCCCGTAACTTTGCAACGTTTTCTTACTAATTGAAAGGGAAGCATATTTCCCTCTGAAATCTCAAACACCAGTAAAATATTGATCTCAATTTTTAAAAACTTGGCAATTTTTAACAAGATAATATTGTCAAAAATTGGCATTTTTTCTAGATTTTTAAATCATGTTTTGTCAACAGGTTTGGAACCAAAGATTTAATTTTAAAGCTCAGAATAAAAGTCCACAAAAGTTTATAATCAGTTGGTGTGCAACTTTTCCTCTTGCTTTGTCCATCACCTTACAATTAATTTTACATATGCAAAATATTGAAATTGAAGAGGTAGTATGGGTCCAAAACCCAGATCCGCTGGATTCGTAAGATTTTGGCTTCCCGGATCCGGATTCATGGGGCAAAATATCAACCGAAAACTAAAAAAAAAAACTTATTTACTCTCAACCCCCAAATCTGAAGTATTGAAAGAAGAAAAATTTCATGATTTCTGAATGGTTCCTCAAGTTTTAGCATAAAAATAAGCGAAAAAATAAGACAAAAAATTTGAAAATTCTCCTTTGTTAAAAAAATAGTAAATCTTGAAGAAATTGCTTGGATCCGGCTCCTTTTTTCCAGTGAGGATCCAGGATCCGGATCTGGATCGGCATCACAATTAATTGGATCCTAAGCACTGGTAAAAGCTATGAACTATTGTATCTGTTAAGAACCGCAGAAGTTCATATTTAAAAAAATGTACTTGTCCCTAAAAATAATGTATTTCCCAATTCACATAGTTGCCCCCTGTTCTTAAATTTAAGATTTGGCTTTAAAACAGCAATTCGTTCTTCATGTTCTTAATTTTCCGGGGGGGGGGGGGGTTTTTAAACTTTAAAATGTTTTTGAATTTTTTGAATTTTTTATTTTAAAATTTTTCTTTTTTTTCAGTTTTATGGGTTTTTAAAAAATGTTTTTAAAAATCTTAAATTTTTTACGATATCAAAATCATGTTCTTAAAAATCTTAATTTTGGAAAATGTTCATAATTTCGTTCTTAATTTTTGGTAACGTTTGTTGGAAAAATTTTAAATTTTAGAACAGCGTTCTTAATTTTTTGTGGGGCAGGGGGCAACTATGATTCAGCGTATAAAACCCTAGACTCAAATTCGATGAAAAATGTTGTTTTAAAGGTATTAAATGCAGCTTGCTTGAATATCGTCTTTCTACTCCACAGTTTCAAGGGTGTAAGTGTATACCTGTGTAATAACACTTTGAAGATTTTTTTATTGGAGAGGACTGTGGAATGTGGATACTATCTTACATCGAGTGGCATGTCCGATTTTCAACGGTATCAATGAAAGCTTTGTTTAATAAAGAATAAACCAGATAACCACATTTTTCTCTTTGAAATTGATTATTTTAATATTGTGGTTTATCATCTTCAGAGTCATGCAGATTTATGCTACAGAAACAACGGTGGAAATTGTCAGAATTTATCTATTTTTAAGCTGAATGGGAAATGAGGGTTCAATTAAAATTTGGTTAATTAAAGGGAAATGATTTCATGGTTTGGGACTGGAATACACCATCTTAATAAAGGGACATGATTTCATGGTTTGGAACTGGAATATACCATCTTAATAAAGGGACTTGATTTCATGGTTTGGGACTGGAATATGCCATCTTCACAATTTTCTGTTAGAAATTGATAAATGTTCAAATAGTGAAAGCTACATATACTTACAGATATTTTAATCTATCGAATTGATAAAAATAGCCCCCCCCCCCTGCCTCCCAGTCTAGATCTACAATTTGTCTTCAAACATGAGGTGTTAAGCAAGAAAAATTTTAATTAATCCGGAATATTTAATCCACGCTAAAACTAAATGTAATGCAAGAAATTTTCTGAAAGCGGGTCAAAAACACGACACATGATTCTTATCCTATCTGAGCTGAAAACTTTAGAATCTTGGATATCGAGATTAATGCTTGATCTCCTCGTATCGTAAAAGGGAGTGTTCACGAAAAATGAAAGGGGGTATAGGTTTACGGCGAACACTCCCTTTAATCTTTAGATTATTTTAATCTTTTTCCACTTAAGTGACTTCAATTCTATCCATCAGAGTGTACCAAAAGAAAGCATTATAAGTTCCACAATTGATACTCAGATTAAGCGATCGGGATTAAGGGTATCCACTTCTAAAGTTTTCAGCTCTGCTAGCTTTTAGCCCCCCCCCCAAAAAAAAAAATTTAATAGAACAGTTTAAAATCTAAACTTCCAGAAAATAAGAAAGTTGAAAGTACGGTTTTGTTTTTAACATATTTTTTTTTTACTTCGAATCCAATTAACATTCTTAAATGATCATTAATCTTGTCATTTTTGTTGTGAAGCAATTTGAAAAGAGATTTTATTTCATATGAGATTCATATTACTTAAATATCACTTCAAATAAAGTTGTGAATCAAAATAACTGCAGTTTCCATTAGAAGATCCTTGCTGAAAGATTATAGTGAAAGGGTTTTATCCTGTAACACAAAGTTAAGAGTACTTTTTCCTGAAATTAAATGACATTTCTGTTAAACCTGGAAAGATATCCGTATTGATTGAAGTAGGGCATTCCAATTTTTTAAATTTCAATTATTTTATTCATTATCTCTGATAAATTCAAAAGTTATTTGATTTTTTTTAAATTGGAGTTTTCCTTTGATGTTATATTGATAAAACTTTAAAGCTAATGCAACAGATTTTAATCAAATTCTTACATGTATTTTGAAAACATGTAGATATCTCAACCCCCTGGGATTTTTTATTTTGGGGAGACGAATCAAAGAAAAGTTAGTGGCTTTTTTTCCCTCAGCTTGGAAATTTGCACTAATCCTTTTGTTTTATATAAAGAAGAGAATCTGTTTTTGGGGTTAAGGGAATAAAATGCAAATCATTTTTAAGGTATCGTATCAAAAATGCAAGTTAAGCACTTAAGAAAACTTAAAAGTTTTGCACTTTGAGATAAAATTTTACTTTAAATTTAAATTTTTTTTTTTTAATTTTTAGACGGCCTTGAAATTGTTAAGAGCTCAGATTTCAAGTTTATCCATATTATATATATATACATATATCTGATAATTAAAACAGATTATTTTTTCATTAGATTTATATATAAAAATATATGTATGGCCTGTATCTGTAAATGTGTCTAGTATCAACGGATCAAACTAGTTCAAATATGTGATTTTCAGCAAAAATTTCCCTAAATCAAAATCTGTAAGTGCTTCTTTTAATGTATAGATAAATACATATGTTGTATGTATTGCAAGACATTGATAAACTGATCAGAGGTCGGAATTAATGAATAACTAAAAGTAGCTGAACGTTGTAATACTTCTTTAGTGTAACCGAGACTTTATTATATCCGACCGTAATGAAATCCACTCTATTGCGCCGCATAAAAACAGTTCCGGAACTAGTTGTATTGTAAACAATAACAAAGATGAAAAACAAACAGACACCCTTTTTTTTAACATAGTTTAAACACAAGATGAAAGAAATAAAAGTACCGTTTACTCACAATCAAAGCCATAAGATTGTGTCAAATTATGGCCCATTGGACGTTTTTTGGACTTATTCAGATTAAAAAAAAGAGTGCTGTAACATTTCAGGAATCGAAAAAGCCAAAGGGAATCAATTACCAACGAGGTGCTAAGATCAAATTTACTTATAGTTTGTTTTGCAGGTTGTACCAAAAGACTACAAGACGATGGCCAGTCTTTCCAGAGCAATCGCTAAAAACGTTCTGTTTTCTCATCTAGATGAAAATGAAAGGCAAGAAATTTTATAATTTAGTTTTTAAAAGTTTGAGGGGCAAAATCTTTTTTGTCATAAGAATGTCTGTTTTAGAAAGGTTTGAAAGACATTTTTACTTATCTGTTTATTGGTTTCTGAAACATTTTAAATATGAGAAGATTAAATGTTTATATCTTACATGGCATTTTATTTGTTTAAAGTAGTAATGTTTGTTTGTTTGGATGTTTGCGAAAGTTTAGTTTTCAGGCAAAGATGGGTTCCCAAACTAGTTTTTCTACAGAATTATGCTTAAACAATAAAACATACGAAATGTTTAGTTTCCCATATTTCAAGTTTTAGTTTTAAATTCAAATATTCTGCACCAAAGTACTCAAGTATGTGACACAAGTCCTTTGTGGTTTTATAAATGTCAATTTTAAAATTCCTTAAAGTTTTCCAGGAAAAAGAATTTTTTATCTTAAAATTTTTTTTTTACAGTGGGACCCATAATACTCAAACTGCAATCTTTTGTGTATTTGATGCTGTTTTATCTTTTGTGTATTTGATGCTGTTTTATCTTTTGTGTATTTGATGCTGTTTTATCTTTTGTGTATTTGATGCTGTTTTATTTTTTGTATATTTGATGCTGTTTCTTTTGTGTATTTGATGCCGTTTTATCTTTTGTATATTTGATGCTGTTTTATTTTTTGTGTATTCGATGCTGTTTTATCTTTTGCGTATTTGATGCTGTTTTATCTTTTGCGTATTTGATGCTGTTTTATCTTTTGTGTATTTGATGCTGTTTTATCTTTTGTGTATTTGATGCTGTTTTATCTTTTGCGTATTTGATGCTGTTTTATCTTTTGTGTATATGATGCTGTTTTATCTTTTATGTATTTGATGCTGTTTTATCTTTTATGTATTTGATGCTGTTTTTTCTTTTGTATATTTGATGCTGTTTTATCTTTTGTGTATTTGATGCTGTTTTATCTTTTGTGTATTTGATGCTGTTTTATCTTTTGTGTATATGATGCTGTTTTATCTTTTATGTATTTGATGCTGTTTTATCTTTTATGTATTTGATGCTGTTTTTTCTTTTGTATATTTGATGCTGTTTTATCTTTTGTGTATTTAATGCTGTTTTATCTTTTATGTATTTGATGCTGTTTTATCTTTTGTGTATTTGACGCTGTTTTAAAGCAAAAACACAAAAGATTACAGATTGACTATCTATATCTCAAGAGGTTTAAACCTTAAAGGGAACCATCGTGAATAGGACATTCCTTTTTCTTAATTAAGGATTATTTAAAATTATGTCTTTAGTCCCTTTGTTTAAGTATTTATACTTGACAACGCTCGTGTGAGAAGTCTTAGTTGTGCTGAATCTAATTATGTTTAATTTTAAAGTATTAATTTAACATGCTATTTTAAATTATTTGGTTTATTTGTCCCACACTCTTTTTTTGCAGATATCTTTTCGAAAATCTTTATTTGCTGTGTTAAACATTTGCAATTATGTGTGACACCTTATGTTGTTGAATTAAAGTAGTTGTTATTTTTCTTTTTTTTCTCTTTTTTACTTTACTTTTTACTTTTTTAAAAGTCCTTGTATTAATATCAGTGCTTAGGATTCGGATAAATTTATCGGCTCCCTGGATTGTTTTGATTCCAGTGCCAAGAAATCTACAAAAAAAAACATGAAAATATTGACACGTTTTATCAAGACAATTTTTAATTTACCAACTTTCGACTTTTCCCAAACGTCTGTAATGCTCTTCAAGTTCCTTCAAGATTAATAAAGGAAACTAGTAATTGTACTTGATGACCAAAAAATTTAAATTCTCATTGAAGTAAAAAATGTTTAGGTCGTTGGCCTAACCCTTGACTTGTTATTTGTACACTTGACTTGTGTTATTAATTAACTGTTACTTTAATTTCCGTTGTTTTGCGGTAACTACTGAAGCGGTCTCGGCCTTGATTTCAACGGAATGATGGTTAACCTTTTATTTATTTCTGTTTAGGTCGGATATCTTCGATGCGATGTTTCCGAGCTCCGCTATGCCAGGCAGCGGTCAACTTTGTTATTATCCCCCCCCACACGCCTTAATATTTCTTTTAACCATAACAATGTAAAAATATTTATTTTTCTACAACCAACTTGGATGATGAAAGACCTGACACTTAGTTCCCTAAAATTCAGAAAAATATTTTTTTTTACATTTTTAATAAGTTGACTTTTCTACAGGAGAGATCATTATACAGCAGGGAGATGAAGGAGACAACTTTTATATCATTGATCAGGTTTTTATATTTTATTCTGGCCTAACTCTGGCTTTTATATCATTGATCAGGTTTTTATATTTTATTCTGGCCTAACTCTGGCTTTTTATATCATTTATTAGGTTTTTAGATTTTATTCTGGCCTAACTCTGGCTTTTTATATCATCTATTTCGAAATTTTACCAGCATGTGGTTGATTTAATTTTGTAATTGTTAAACATATTTTTGTTCAAGATAATTTTAAGAATTAATTTTTGAATAGGGAGAGGTTGAGATCTATGTGAATGAAGAGAAAGTTTTGACCCTGGGTGAGGGAGGAAGTTTTGGTGAGCTGGCTCTAATCTACGGAACTCCTAGGGCTGCTACTGTCAAAGCTGCTAAAGATGTGAAGGTATTATTATTATTAAAAACATCAACATACACACTGTTTGTCATGTCATGTAGGCTGTGATTAGGATCCAATCATTTTGATGCGGATCTGGATCTTGAATTTGCCCTGAAAATGTAATGGATCTGGATCTTGAATTTGCCCTGAAAATGTAATGGATCTGGATCTTGAATTTGCCCTGAAAATGTAATGGATCTGGATCTGGAATTTGCCCTGAAAATGAAATGGATCTGGATCTTGAATTTGCCCTGAAAATGTAATGGATCTGGATACAGTTCATGATAATTTCTTAAAGATTAACTGATAATTTTTATAACAAATAAAGAATTTTCAAATCTGTTTTTTTGTTTTTTCATGTTTTTGTGCCAAAACTTCTGTATCACTCAGAGATTAAGACGTTTTTTGATAATCTCTCATTAGTCTAAAAGTGTTGACTATGTGGATCCGGAACCTCAGTGTTTGTTGTCTGGTTAGAATCGAACCGGGATATAAATTTCCAGTATTGATTCTCCGGGGAAATTTTATAAATATCTGCAAGATGAAATATTTGTTTTAATTTAGCATTTTTCAATTTTCAATTTTAGCAATGAAAATTAAATTATATTTGTGTATCGCGACTAGGGCAATTTTATGCTGTGGTTGATATGTAGTGACCAGTGACGTCCTAAACGCTGCGTCTGTTCATAATGATGTTTGAAATCAGTCAATATCTACATTATGTATATAAAGTAGTTGTAACAATAAAAGATTCTCTGTGTCAAAAAAAATATTTTTGGATAATTCTTTATAATTCCAGATAATTGAGTTAAGTTGTTTGATATTTATGAAAATAACAATATTTGTAGTTGTGGGGAATAGATCGAGACAGCTACAGACGTATATTGATGGGATCTACGATTAGAAAGAGGAAAATGTATGAAGGATTCCTCTCGAAGGTTTCAATTCTTGGTTAGATTACGTTAAAATTATTACATTATTATTTATGTTTTTCAATCTTGAATAGATTTTTCTTCTTTTTGGAAATACACGCTATGCTCAATTTAATATTTATCGGGAATGCAGCTATGGAAATTTAACCACTAAAATATGCCTTAAGGACTTGGATTAGCAATTTGCATGAAAACCGGATTTTCTGGCAAAAATTGCAAAGATTACAAAAAAATTAACAATTACTTTCATTATGACTGTCACTGACATCTTTTAGTGGTAAAATGGATATACTTGGGTTACTAACTCTCCAAAAACTGATATTACACAAGAATGTAAGGCAAGGAAAGTCAATTGCGCTTGTGTATACTCTGTGTACATATTGAAACCAGTTCTCTCTGGGCGGAATTTGTAAACAATAATAGATGCATCAGTGTTCGTTTAGTATCCGAGGAGGTTAAAAGCATTAAATTTGGATAATTTTGATAATTTACTTAATAATTTCCTATGACCAGAATATTTCATTGATTTTTTATGTGAATGATGGATCCCATGTCAGGCTTCGACATCCGTCTTGTGTTTACATTAGCGCCCAGAGACAGTACACTGCAGTACTAAAGATGTGTACACTTCTGAAATGACTTTCCTTGCCTTACATCCTTGATATTACATGTCTATTTTAAATTAGTTGAACAGGGGTTTATATTTTCTTTAAAAATCATTATTCCCCCCCTTCGAAAATAATTTTTTTCTTCAGAACTTTAGATGTAACATTTTTCAGGGTTTCATTCGATGAATTGTAGAAATTATGAACAAATTTGGTTTAAAAGTATCAAAAGGGAGGGGAAAACAACCTTTTGTCGTTCAATTCTTAATTTTTTTTCTCGATCATCAAAAATAATACAAATAATTCTTGGAATTTATATACCCCTGCAATTGAACAACATTTATTTTTACTAGCTAAGGTTAATTTTGATTAAAATATATTTTATGTGTTTACTATTTCAGAGAACCTGGACAAATGGGAAAGACTGACCGTCGCTGATGCCCTGGAAGCGGTCAGCTTCGAGGTAGGATTTTTAATATTTTAAGGGACTGAAAACGTATTTTCAAGTGAACCTGCTTGCAAAAGTATCAATGCTTGATTTACAACGGTCCCCCTAAAGTCTGATTAACGAGATACCCTTTAAGTATGATAAAGTATGAATTAGATATAAATTTTTATAATTTTGTAAACTGATTATTTTCGACTGTGGGTTCTCTTCAAAAGCAACTTGCGCAATTATTTAATGTAGGAAATTTTATAGAAATTATCAGAATTTAACACTTTTAAACCCAAACTAACGATAATATCTTCCTCATTATTGATCAGAGAAAGGTACCGCTGTGAATCGGGCATTGCAATCTTTGCATCAAGGGTCACTTTAAATTACGCGAACAGTACATTTAAAGGGTGTCATCAATGATGCCAGAGCATAGTTGCCCCTTGTTCTTAAATTTAAGATTTGGCTTAAAAACAGCAATTTGTTCTTGATGTTCTTAATTTTCGGGGGGGGGGGGGAGTTCTTAAACTTTTGAAATGTTCTTTAATTTTCTTTCCAAAATTTTCATCAAAGAACTTGTAATACCTTTCAAAATAGGAAGAGAGAAAAAAATTAATCATATTAAGAGTCTTATGAGAAATTGCCAGGCTCTCACGACAAACGGCCAAAAAACGAGAAGTTAGAAATCCAGAAATCTCAGAAATTCTGAAGCTAATTATTTGCCTAACAGGAATCTGCATAAAACAAATCATACTTGGACGCGTGTCCGAGAACATTTAGAATGGAAGCTGATGATTTTTCAACAGTTTTCTTTTTGAAGCCTTGCACCCTAAACTCATATCAATTATACGTTAACTGTGTAGTACTGTACAGTATTATGTTAAACAGTTTTCTTTTTGAAGCCTTACACCCTAAACTAATATCAATTATACTTTAACTGTGCAGTACTGTACAATATTATGTTAAACAGTTTTCTTTTTGAAGCCTTACACCCTAAACTCATATCAATTATACTTTAACTGTGCAGTAATGTACAATATTATGTTAAACAACTTTAGTATTTTTTAGGTTATTGCTGCAATGATATTTTTTAAACATATATTAAAGGGAGTGACCGGCTATGTAAGGTAGTTGAACTGAGGACGCAGTGTTGTGGAAAACTTCTTTAGGATTCATTTGAGACATATTGAACTTTTTAAAAGTCTGTAAATCCTGAGTTTGAGCGCAAATTCGACGTTCAAAACTCCTGATTTGGGGGTGGATACGCTTTCAGAATTAGTTTTTTTTAAATTATTAATTAACGACGACATAAATGTAAAAATATTCTACAATAAACTGTTGACGTCATGTTTAGGAACATTTTGAGAAAATAAAAATTAATCTTATCATCGAAAATTAGTAATCTTGTTCAATTATTAGTTTCTATTATCTCATTATTCTAGTTTCTCGTTATTCACAAAGATGTTCGCAGATTTTCAATAATTATCATTGAAAAGACGACATTTAAAGAATTTGAAGAAATCTGCGAATAAATTCAAAGAAAATTAGAAATTCAATATAATAATGAAAACGAAATAATCGATTTTCGCATTGATTTACTGACAAATTTCTTTTGTGAAATATGTTCCTAGCCATCTAATTAGATTACTGTATAATGTTTACTTTATTTTTCGTTGTCGTTATTTAATAATTAAAAAAAAAACTAATTCTGAAAGCGTATCCACCCCCAAATCAGGAGTTTTGAACGTCGAATTTGCGCTCAAACTCAGGATTTACAGATCCTTAAAAAGTGAAATATGTCTCAAATGAATCCTAAAGAAGTTTTCGACAACACTGCATACTCAGTTCAACTACCTTACATAGCCGGTCACTCCCTTTAAACATAAATTCTCTACAAAAGAACGCATGTTGAACTTTCAAAGAAACTATTCAAATATTTTATGCATGAAAAGTGAATATTTTTGACAAAAAAAAGAGAATTTTTTCATTTTTAAATTAATTTTTTTCCATTTTTTGTAGGATTTTAAAAATGTTCTTAAAAGTTTTAAATTTTCACGATAACAAAAACATGTTCTTATTTTTGGTAATATTTGTTTAAAAAATCTTAAATTAAAGAACAGCGTTCTTAATTTTTTTTGGGGGGGAGGCAGGGGGCAACTATGAAGAGGGGAATTCCCTCTTGAGTCAACCTACGATAATGGAGATATATTTTTATTTTTCAAATCCTATTCCTTTAACTGAAAGCGTAATTATGAATAGTAAATAAGCTGAAGTTATAGAAACAGTTAAACTTAGTTTGTTGTACTTTCAAACTTATGGTTTCTAACTAATTTTCTCGAGTCTAAGCAGGGCGTATACAGGAAGTTTTCTTTGGGGGGGGGCTAAATTTTTTATCATGTGGACTCAGCACCAGTTGGGACTAAAAAGGCTCTGGAATTAACAGATTTCACTGATTCAGCTTAGCCCAAAACCAATCCCCCCCCCCCTGTTTACGCCTCTTAGTCTGAGTACTTACAATCTTGCATATGCTTCAAATTATATATTTTGAGTTTATTTCACATAAAAGACTTATTTTTGTAGGACGGAAATGTAGTTGTGAAGCAGGGAGAACCTGGAGATGATTTCTATATTATAGCTGACGGGTAAACTAAAAAAATTTTATTTAACCCCCCCCCCCCCCAAAAAAAAATCACTTTGTCATCGGGCTTATTTTTTCTTCTAGATTTTACCCCATTTGGTGTCTCAGTTCGATTCATTTATATTTAAGTTCAAATATTAGATGATTAAAATGCTTTTTGGTACTGCTGGGGAAATTTCAATGGGGAGATATTTTGTAGACGGTGAATAATTTAAGAAGCAATGTATTTATCTGACAAATATATCTATTTGAAACATTTTGAGTGGAAAATCAAACTTTAATAAAATTTCTTTCCCAACAGTTTTCAACAAAATATTTCAAAATAAAACAAAATAAATACAAAATATCAGAAATAAAATGAAAAAAATTCCGAAAGTACATTTTGATATGATTTCTATTCACTCTGACGTCAACCAACCATAATAAAATTGTGGGCAAGTTTTAACCAGAGGATGTCTCACATCATATTGGATTATGCTAAGCTCTAAATTTGGTATATTTGGACCGTAAAATGGAAATTCTGAAGGATTGTTTCGTTGTGTCGAATTGGTCAAGGATACCCAAAACAATTGCAGAAAGAAAATTTAGGGTTCTTTTGGTAATCAAACGTAGACACTTTGGGATTGGATCCTGTTAATCTTAAACACTTGATCTCGATATCTAATGTAGGCACGTTGAAAGTTCTGAAAGCAATGCTAGATCCCTCAATTGCTTATGATCCGGATCCGTTGGATCCACAACATTTTAGTTTCCTGGATTCGGATCCGCAAAAATATGCGGATCCACGGATCCAGATCCAAGGGCAATGAATATCAACCAAAAACTGCAAAAAAAAAAAATGAAATGGAATTTCATTTAATTTATAATTTAAAATATATAAATATATTCTGTTGTTCAGAAATGCTGTTGTAACACAATACAGAACTGAAGGAGAGGACAGTCATGAGGTGAGTTATGTTGATTGCAATCTTCTTGGTGTCCTCTACACAGATTCATTTTTTCAATTCATTTCCATTTACTTTAAAATTGATTATTTTCTGCGATGGATTCCCTTAGACCATAGAAGTGACACAATTTCATCGTATTGACGATATTTTCCTCTTTGGTGCTTAGATAGAATTTGAAATGGTACAATTCCGAATCGGTCTTTTAAAGTTACGTCTACATTCCCTATAAGGAAAAAATGACACTAAAAAGTTTGCGTGTTAATATGGGTAACCTTAATATGTGCCTTAAACTGGGTTGCCCAAGATGGGGCTTCTTGCAGATCTCATCTCACATAATCACATAATCACAGAGAACTGCCGACCCTGTTAATGGATAGATAATTTAAAAAAAGTAAATGATTTGAGACCACCGTTTAAAAATCTGTTTTTTTTTGTGAGAAATGTTTGTCCGTTTGTACATGTTCAAAAATCAACAATGCCTAAATTGTATGAAAGTTGTTCAAAATATTATTTAGGATTATTGCATTAAATCCGAGCTTTGCTTCCTTGTTATTGCAGAATATAAAAGTAAAAACTGGAAAACTTGAAACCCGTCAAAAGTTAACTGAAACTCTGTCAATGCCCTTATATTTTGACAGGGAAATGCAAACAAAAAAAACGTAATTTTCAAAAGTTTTAAACTATGTTTTTGGTATAATGTACGTACAACAACCTTCCTTTTTTAAGGTTTAAAGGAAAGCAGAAAATATGCCTTTTTAATACATTTTATGCAAAAATCATTTTTTCCCTGAAAAATATTTCAGATTTCAAGTTTACATTCATGGCGAAAATTAGGCTTTTGAGGGGAAGGGGGGTGGGAAATTTCATAAATTATTTCCCTGGGACATTTTTCCTCAAACTGTTCAGTACGGAAATGTTATTTTAATTTTCTACTGGCATGGGTATTACTAATTTGTGACCTTGTCCGTCTTGGACTCCAGGCAGCCAACTGTAGTGAAAATTGTCCTGAAGGCAGTATTGGAGTTCCACATTGGGTTTCTTTTCAGATTTCATTTCATTTGATCTGATCTGATCTGATCTGATCTGATCTGATCTAATCAGATATTATGTGTTTTGATCTGATTTCATTTCATTTCATTTGATCTGATCTGATCTAATCAGATATTATCTGTTTTGATCTGATCTGATTTGATTTGATTTGATTTGATTTGATTTGATTTGATTTGATTTGATTTGATTTGATTTGATTTGATTTGATTTGATTTGATTTGATTTGATTTGATTTGATTTGATTTGATTTGATCTGATTTGATCTGATCTGATCTGATCTGATCTGATCTTTTTTTTTGATCCAGGGGGAGGGGTCGGCGTCCTTGGCAAAGAAAAAGAAGATTTTGTCCTCGCTAGAAAAAATCTGATCTGCTTCCTAATCAAAAGTTCCAATTATTAATCTTAAAACCTTATTATGAATTATTTTGAATAATTAGTTATGGGTGAGTGAAAAGAATTATAGTTTTTTACAAATCATCTAATTATCGGGAAAGTGACAAACACAGGTTTATGTAACGAAAAAGGAAAATGAATAATGAGGATTTTTGGAAAAATGTAGTTTCAAGCATAAAAACTTTAAAATTGTTAAATAAATAAACTTACTTTAAGATTTAAGAAGTGAAGTATTTTTCTTGGCGGTTAGAAACCTTTTCTTTATTGTGGGTTAGGGTAAAAAGCAGCAGAAATGGGTTTTTGTGGGACAAGATCGAGTTTATACAGGATGGTTTTTTTAACCATTCCATTTTTTACTTTAATGAGGTTTCATAAGAATCATGTTTCATTATTGTGGGTTGGGGCCAATAGCAGCAGAAATGAGTTTTTGTGGGACAAGATTGAGTTTATGTAGGATAGTTTTTTTGGGCTTTTAGCCATTCCATTTTTTATTTTTATGAGGTTTCATAAGCATCATGTTTCATTTTTTTTAATCCTCGAAAAGTTTGCTTTTTTGCATAATGCATAATATTTAGGTTGGAACTCTGGGTCCTAGTGATTACTTCGGAGAAATAGCCTTGATCCTTGACCGACCTAGAGCAGCTACCGTTACCGCCAGCGGACCTCTCAAATGTGTGAAGCTAGATCGAGCTAGGTAACAAATATTAGGCACTCGGCCAACCAAATGATTCTAAGCGATTTTAGGATTTTTACGAGTACATTTAAGTATATATCCGATTGATTTTTAATATCATTTTGGGTTTAGATTTCGATTCTAGTGAAGAACAAAAACATTTTAAAATGGTTTTAGGGTTTTTTATATAATCACTGAACACTTTTTATTTAATCAAGAATAACACAGTTTTAAATTATGTTTCATGTGACAGCAAAGACACATCCAAAAAATCAAATCGAAAATAGGTCTTTGTGTACTCAAGCAAACTTCAAATGTACTTCTGATGTCGTTTATTTTTGATGATATTTCATAAATTGTAAAATGTAATATGTTTCTATTTTTAACAATGTAATATTTGTTCAGGTTTGAACGTGTCCTTGGTCCCTGCTCCGACATTCTTAAACGAAACATTCATAATTACAATAGTTTCGTTTCCCTCTCTGTATAATCTTCGTTTCATCTTGTTGTTTGTCGTTAGTGTCCAGACACATTTGTTAAAATTAAACTATTCTCCAGCTGTCATTTCAGTCGACTGTTCTTCCTTTTCGACACGTTTCATGTTGATTGTGGGTCGCGTCGACAAGAAGTAGCGATTGTACTTTTAGCTGGGCTCATTAACACCCATTTGTTTTAATTTTTGTTTTACTTAATATTTTTTATTATTGTATTTATCATAATTTGTGAGTTTTCACTGGTCAGTAATCTGAGAATCTGTATCTTTCTCTACACTGTACACTTTTTACTGTACTGTAAAGTGTACACCGTTTACTGTATAGTACACTGTACAATGTAGTCAGATCATCTACTGTGCTTGGATACAGGCTAAAATTACAAGGACTGCATATTTAACTATTTTTACGTGAGGGTGATTTTAAACCTGAACCAACCTCACCCTCACTAGGGGTAATTATTTCCCCAAAATGTAATCTCCCTCCCCTCCCCCCTACAACACAATACTTAACATTTTACTGTCCCTTAAGTTAACATTGGATCCTTTTCCTGGGAATAAGGTCAAAGTTGTGAATAATGCGTATATATATATATATATATATAAAGAACAGAAAGTCGAATCAAACAAGTTGTTCTACCATTTTTCCAGAGAATAATACACAACTGTAAACCATTTTTCCCAAATTCAATTTTAAATGTTGTGTTTTTAGAAAACTAATATTACAAAGATTTCACACAACTTATTATAAAGCCTTTAACGATAAAATAAATGCAAAAATATTCCTTCATCTATAGAATTATGTTTTGTAATATTATAATTGTGAATCTAATTAACCTTTTAATAGTCCGGTACTGCCATTTTTATGTGAAAAATTGCATTTCTGCAGCGCTGGATTACTGATCGTTATCAGGCACTAACCGTTTGATTTTAATAGTTTATGTTGAAATAAATAGGTTTATTAAGTTATAGTGGTAAAGATGAAGATGACAACTTTTCAGAAATCTGTTTTAATTGTTACCTAAAAGTCATGTATTGTAGAGATCTAATAAATGAGTTTAATCTAGGAAACTTATTCGAAATATTATTTTTCAGAAATATGACAGTTGATAGTTACAATCTGAGATAGTTTTTGATCTTTGCACCAATATCGTAAGGCGGCCCCTTTCAAAGTTTTATAAAGTATCAAAATATCTCGTGTTTTCGTAAGATTTTAAATTTTTGCAAGTTTTAAATTTTTTTATTTTATTTTTGGTAATTTTGAATTTTTAATAGTTAATTAAAATATGAAAAATCAATGTTCCACAAGATTAAATTGTTATTTTCTTTTCATTTCTTTTTATGAAGAAACTCGGATGACTAATGGCCATTCTTGGTAATAATGTCCGAGTGAATAGTTAAAATCCTGGAAACAAAAGTTTAATGCGATTTGTTGAGGTTTTTGTCACTGACTCTCGATGTGCAGATCTGCAGAACAATCTTAGGACATAGACACTATGTCTTAAATGCATGAGGGTTGATAGCCAGACACTATGTCTTAAATACATGAGGGTTGATAGCCTAAGTACAAACTTGTCGGCAAGGAATATAAAGCATGACACGGACAGTCGTAGTACATTTGAATTTCCGAGCCGGGTCAACCTTTCCGATCCCAGTTTGTACTGTACCTAGCCCTATGGACAGGACTAGCCGGTGCAACAAGATTGACGCGGTCAGACTTTGTGCTTCATATAGGTTGAATTTACTTTTACTGAAGGGGAAGAGGGCGTGATGAACATTATAATGTCTCAGTAAGCATAACTTTTTATGTGGGCATGTTTTTCCATTCTCCTTGGTTCCCTCAGTCCAAATATAGTAGTAAAAAGTCTCAGAGACATCTAACTTAGATACATGGAAAATCTGAAAATCTTGATTTTACTTGAATTTCGTGTAATTTTTAGTATTACTCATCTTATATCTACGGTAAGTTCAGCAATCAGCTATGAACTATCTACCTAATTGACCCCTCATTTATGAGCTGTCTACCTGATTCACCACTACCGATAAACTATCTACCTGATTGACACTCTTGTAGCTATGAACTGCTACCTGATTAAATCTTTCTGATTTACCTCATGTCTATGAACTACCTACCAGATTGACCCAATAGCTATTAACTATCTACGAAATAGTATTTACAGGGTGTCCCATAAACATGACTGTTGGTGAAAAAGTTAAAATGTCTTCTTCAATAATTTGTTAAGTTGTGTGATACCAAAGATAATGATAAAGAAATACTAAATGGCAGCAATGTTATAGTAAAATTGATTTCAAACAAATGTATATTAGAGTAAAATATTTGTTTAACGAAATAATCAGCAAAAAATCTTAAATAACGAATACATATCATGGAAGAAGACATAAAAACTATTCACCATCTGTCATGTTTCTTGGGACACCCTGTAATTGACTGCCAAGCAAAGAACTGGTACCTGATAAACACTGCTTGAAGTTATATCTACCTGATTGACACTGCTTTGAAGTTATATCTACCTGATAAACACTGCTCTGAAGTTTTATCTACCTGATTGACACTGCTCTGAAGTTTTATCTACCTGATTGGCCTCCTAGCTATGAACAATCTACCTAATTTACCCCCTCAGCTATAAACTGTTACCTGATTGACCTCCTACTAATAAATTATCCACCTATCTCAAATATACCTACCTGATTGACCCTTAGCTATGAACTGCTACCTGAATGATCCCCTTAGCTATTAACCTAGCCATAAACTTTTGACCTGATTGACCACCTAGCTATGAACTATCTTCCTGGTTGACCTCCTGGCTCCTAGATATGAACTGTCTACCAGATTGACCCCTCACTCCTCAGCTATGAAGTGTCTACCTAATTGACCTCTTTTGATTAAATTAGTAAATGCAGTACTATTGAATTTGAAACTCGCCTCGTAGCGGCAACACTCAATTTTAACATCTAGCTGATCCCAATAAGATGAAGGCCCAATTTTTGGGTGATTCTCTACATATCCCCTGCAACCATTTGAGACTGTGCAATATAGCACATGATGCTGTTGAAGAGGCTGAGAAACTGAAGATGTTGAAGAAACTGTTCCAATAAGAAGTCCCAGATTAGCAAAAAAATCAATTTTTTAGCCTATGTCAGTGTATTTCCCTGGCTACCCATGAGTGTCCACAAAAAAATTCAGCCCATTCGGTTCACATGTTTTTCCGGCAATAAAGAACATACATTCGGGCCTTTCAGCTGGTATATTATAAAGGTTAAAGGGAGTGTTCGCGAAAAATGAAAGGGGGTATAGGCTTAATGCGATAAAAAAGCGCTTTTGATCGCTATTAATCTTACTTCTATCTGTTGCGTCTATAAGGAGAAAATTGTTAAAGACGTCTAATACCGAATAACTTAGCGCCCATACAAATTCAGAAAATTGCAACATACTACTTAGACCGTAAAAAATCAATTTAATTTTAAACAAATCATTTAGATATTACAACCTATAGTCATCGATTATCTTTCGCCACATTTGGAGAATGGATGTCTCTCCTCTTGCTGTCTGAGACAGGGAATGATTACACGTTGCAGAGACATCTAGCGGAAAAAAGTGCACTGTATATAAAACAAATAACAAATGTTGAAATTTATAATTATATACGAATGCATAGAAAAACAATCGATGGCTTTAGGTTCAAATAACTGAATTAGTTGTTTGAAATTAAATTGACTATTTTACGATACGAGTCGTATATTGCAACTTTCTGAATTTATATGGACGCTACGTTCTTCAGTATAAGTCGTTTTAACAATTTTCTCCTTTTAGACGCAACAGATAGAAGTAAGATTAGTAGCGATCGAAAGCGATTATTTTTCGCCGTAATCCCATACTTATTATCTTTCGCTAACACTCTCTTTAAGAAATTACGTGTAACGTCTACAGTCGCTATCAATGAAAAAAAAACGAAAAAGAAAGAAAGAGGAAAGTGTAATATAAACGAATAAACTTAAAAGAAAAAGTACGAAGGAAAGAATGAGAGATAAGAGAAGAGAGAAGCATATCATTGAAAATCCTCGAATTTTATCTATCTATCTATCTATCTTTTATCTATCTACCAATTCCTCTATCTATCCCTCTATAGAAACAGAGAGAATCAGCTGTAGAAACCACCTGTTTCCACATCCATATCTACCTATCCAAAATTTATCTATCTATCTATCTGGGTATAACACCGTAGACGTCAGTAAAGCAACGACAAGCCATGGATAATAGAGAAGCTGGACCATATATTCTTTAACCATTCTTATATCTTACAACTTTTTTCGTACTTTTACTGCTTTATAATAAATGTATGCTTTAAATTTAAAAGTTGAAACTTTTAAAATGTCCGTATATCTAAACTTTCAACCTTACTTTTTATTGTAAACAAACAGCTGTCATTGAACTCAAAATAATTTATATTTTTTTCTGGAAAGCATATGGACAATTAATATAATGGACATCCATATGCTTATAAATATGAATATATTTATTTAAAGTTTAACTTTTTTCAAACGCATATTTGGAAAGATGAGAATAAGTCTAAAAAGATATCTGGAATAAGTTATTAGATATATATTCGATTATAGTATAAACAACAGAACACATATATAATTGTTTAACGTGAATAAAGAAATTAAGTCTTGCTACAAACTTAAACTTTCTAGTCCAAATTTCTTTGCAACCTGATGTTGTGAACCGTTAATATTTTAAACCAAGATTATTTGATCTGAGCGAATTCATAGTTTAAATATCCAAGGTCTAAATAAATATAAAGAGATTAGACAATTAATGTTTGTGGCAAAGACTCTACATAAATCTACAGATCGCAATTCACTTAGATTGAGAAACGGAGATTTCTGTAAGTTTTAATCAGGAAAATGTGCGTGGTACCGTTGTCAATCGTACGAGTAATTCTATCAACAGATGGTTAATTCAAGTTAGGTCTACAGTCTCTTTAAAGTTGTTAAATTCCTTTGAGTTTCCTGTGATAAGTTATAAATTGCAAATCTAGAAAATGGAGTGGAAAAGTTGGTAAAACAATATTCTAAAAATGTCTGGATTTTGCTGGAAATTGAAACAGCGGCATCAATATACTGAATTAGGTAAGAAAACATTATCACTTAACTGTAGGAAAAGGTTAACTTAATGCAAAATTACTGGTCCATCTTGGTGACCTCGTAACTATTTATACCATATTAGAGAACAAAGCAAAGATTATTTGTCCCAAACTCAAATGTTTTAATCCCTATATTCTTAGCAACCTGATTATGTGAACCTTTCACATTTCAAACTTAATAATAATTTATATTTTGAAATATCTATGGTCCACGACATTAGGAAAGTGTTTATGGCAAAGACTCACTATTGTTGCCTATCTGAAAAGTCTTTTTTCAAAGCAAAAAAAAGTTTGTTTAGCAAGAGAATCTATAATTGAAAATTTGTTAGATTTTAAATATAGAACATAACAATTTTAATTCGAAATGTAAAAAGAAATCTAGATTTTTAACTCTAATCTTCAGAAAATTTCAAAAGTTAATGATTAGAATTAGTTTTAAAAAACTAAAAAATTTTGCTATATAGTATATAGTACTCTCGGGTGTAAAAAACACGAGGAATTATGAAGATGCAAATTTGTTCCCAAGATTGTTCCTTTAGAATTTTATAATTGCGTTTGCCATCATGTTTTGTACAGGGTTACCCTCCAAAGGATGAGCCTGTACAGACAATATTACGGTCCTTAGATTCTGCCTTGAATGCGTTTTTTATTTGCCTAATTTCATTATTTGGCAAAGAAAGAAAAAAGCTCTTGGAATCTTAGGAATTCCGTAAAGCATTCTCTGAAGTACTCCTTTCTAGGTAACCCTGTACATCAATTAATAATAACAACAGCAAACTAGCGTTTTTCAAATTTAAAATTGTATCAAATTATCTAATCTCAACACAACCTGCACCTGGAGGAGGAGGGGGGGGGAGTGCAGAAGTCCTCAATTGGTAATCACCGCCACCCAAACGTGTTTTGCGG